CTCCAGATGCTACAAAGCCCGTGACTTACTCAGTACAAAGCTAGGAACATGACCACCAGAAACAGGATCAGAGTCACTCTCAGGCAAAAACAAACAAACAAACAAAACCCTCCAAGGATTAAATGTTATTTCCCATTGTCCTGGGGAGAAATTAATTCAAGGGAGGCCCCAGGGCAGGGAATTCCCCACCAGCACCATGGGCATACCATCACCCCTGCAGTTTTCTGATTTACTCTTTGGCCCATTAAACATGAACTTTCTTATGCCAGGTTTCCTTCTGATAAGGGAGAAGAGATAAGTATCTCTACCTTTCCTCTCCTCCTCCTGCCTGGTCTCTGTATTCCAGTTAACCTATAATTTATGTGGAGGATTTACAATGGTTGACACACCTAGCTGAGCCTTCTGCACAGAGGTAAATGAGAGTGGAGGCTAACTGGGTGAAAGGAGAAACGCCATAAGCCCACACTCCAGTCTATGAGGTGGATTAAAGATCTACCTTGCCCAACTCTTGCCTCACCTGCTCCGTGGTCTGAGTAATAGTTTGGGTCCCAGGACTTTGAGATTGTGTGAAGCCTTCCAGCCCCATGCCTGCAGGACAGCCTCTGTGCAGGGGGAGTTTCACCAATCTCCATAGGCTCACAGTCCTTCAGAAGCTCTCGGACTTCTTGCCAGCAGCGTTCCTGGTATTCTGGGTGCCTTGAAAGGTGGTATAAGATCCAGGAGAGACCACTGGCCGTGGTGTCATGGCCTGAGGGGCAGCCAAGCAAAACTGGGTTTCTGGGCTGCTTCAGCACCAGAGGGTGGACAGCACCCATGATTTCAGGCCCTGGAGAGAAGGTAGGGAGGGGGAGGACAGGCAGAATGGAGTGATCTAGGATCCACCCACCACGTCCCTGGGACGGAGAGTCCCCTGTCCCCACTGCAGTCCCACACTGAGACCCTCACCCCCAAACATGAAGGTGTCAGCTTCTGCTCTTATGTCCTCATCAGACAACTCCCTCCAATCTTCATCCTGGAGAGAAGGTAAGACAATACCCACGCCCCACATCACACCAGTTCTGAGGACTCTTGAGTCAAACCTAAAACAGTTACAGAAGATCCGTCCTCCTTCCAGAAACCCAAGCCCATCATGCACTCCTGGATGTCTCTTGGACACCACCATCAGAGCCCACCACCCACAGACAACCCCCTGGCTTCTTTGCCTCCTATGTGGCCCTGCTGGGAAGAGTCAGTGACCTATGGATATTTTCTTGTTTCTGGATAATGAGGACTTTTGGAGTAAAGCGTTACTGCAAGCTGGGTCACAGCATATTTCGATGGCAATTTGGCTTGGAGGTTAGAAGTCAAGTATTGCTCTGAGGATAGCTGCTCACATTCTAGACTGGTAAACCCAGTCCTTCTTATCTTTCCAGAAGGCATCAGGGTCACAGACCTATAAACCCAGGGGCATGACCGTCTCCCTGGAGAGGAGTAGTTTTTACTCCAGAACGAAGCAAACATCTCTCTCTTTCCTCTCTCTCCCTCTCTGTCTCTCTCTCATTCTCCCTCTCACCCTGGAAGGAAGAAGGGGCAGATTGCTAGCTGTCCTATATAAGTTCCAAGATGTAATAATGGGGGGCCCCGCTCTGCTCTGCATTCTGGTGTATTTACAGGTAAATCACTGTGCTCCCCTAGGAGGAATCTGGGAATGGACAGCCAGCTCTACAGTCCTCCTCTGGTTGCTGCTACTGTTGTGAATGATTAATGGGCTGCTGTAACCCAGGGGTTTGGTGCATCTGTCATCACAGACATAGACAAAGACCTAGACATAGAAATATGCATAAAAAAGTGTCACTAATTTACTAAGATGTGAGTAAAGAAAATGTCAGGCTCCTCACTGTCTCAAACGTAGCAGTCCCCTGCTGCTGAATTCCACAGACATCTCTCAACCCTCTCTGTGACCTATCTTTTTCAAGCGTGTTCCATGAGTCCCAGTGCCCTCTGGATTGACTCCAGCCTCTTTCATTTGACATTGGCATAAATGTCCGCTCTGTTACTTGAACTCATATCCCAGAGAAGCCCACCTTGCTCAGCAGAAGCACATCAACGAAGTCTAAAGTCTTGGACTTTGCCTTGTCCTTGAGGAAGCCATCAGTACCCTGAGTGGGGAGGCTGCGGCGCCGCTCCTGGATGACGGCGTCTGTGAAGTCGTGCACCAGGCAGCAGGCCCTGCGGAAGCGCCGCCCATCCGGAGTCAGATAATACAGGAAGTCCGAGTGCAGGAGAATCTGCTGGTTTCTTTCGTCTACAAAGGCACTGAGTTCCAAGAAGGCGGCAATATAGTCACTGGGCTTCCTGCATGAAGGAGGTAACAACATATGCAAAGCCCCAGGAGCACCTCTCAGCAGCAGCTAGAAGCTACCGCCCATCAGGAAATTGAGCACCCAGAAACAGCCAGGAGCCTTGACTCTCCAAACTCTCTTCTCTCCAGGCACCCCATGTCTGAGAGCTGCCTCCATGCACCTAGGTACCCGGAGCACAGCTTACACACCATGCTTCTCTCCTGTCCCTCACACCCGGTATCCAGTCTGGACTCTTCCTTCCAAAAACTGTTCACAAAACCCAGACCTCACCGTCTTCCACTCTTTGTGGCTCAGCCTCCACCATAATCGACTTGCATCCAATGTCGGCCCCATGTAGTGTCTACATGACAGGAAGACCTCCACAGAGCTCAGTTGTGACTTCACCTGTCATCGGATCAGACCCCTTCAAAAGATTCCTGGGAAGCTCTTGATAAAGTTCATGCCACTTTTCCTGATTTTCAGTATCCTGAAATCTAGCCCCGTCTACTTCCACCACCTCATTTCTACTGCCTGTTATGCATGCTTGCCTCGTCCTAGCCTTCTTGCCTATATTCAGATATTTCTACCTACTTGAAAGGACCATGCTTCCTCTCTCCCCTTCCCCACCCTTCAAAGCCCTGCGGTGACACAGTTCCTTCAGGAAGGCACTTCTGGTTACCGTGGTCACTCGTCCCTTTCCAACCTACTCCCTTGAGATCGTGGCCCAAGTTCTCAGGCCCGAGAGAAGGACTCACTCCTGACAATTGCTATCAAAGCTGAAGACACATTTCTGCAGACTGTTCAGGGTCATGAGGCTGATGTGCTCAAACATGTCCAGTCTGGTGTTGCCCTCTGAGGCCAGGCGCTGCCACTTGTCCTGGCCAGAGAAAAAAAAACAGAGCTGAAGTTGGGAACTACCTCCTTAGAGCTCCTTCCCAGACCCAGACATCAAGATGGACAACCTGCAATCATCCTCCTGTTCGCCTGCCCCCGGAACCCATCCTCAGGGAGGACCAGCCTTGGATAGGAGCAGAGACTGTTACTATTAGGAGGTAAAGACTCCTGGCTGGGAGTCGAGAGACCTGGGATCGAGTCCCAGCTCAGCATCCTGAGGGAAGGTGTTCTCTTTCCACCGTCCACAAGGGGGCGTAGTTTTAAGAGCAAGAATTTCCCAGCGCCCTGGCCCCCTCTCATCTCTCTCCATCCGGGAGATTTAACGGTTTATGTTTGAATTTCACGGGTGCGGTAAGAAACTAAGAGTCAGTCACTCCAGTGGAAGTTCTAAGGAACTCCTTTCACTGGCCTGGGGTCTTGGAGAAGGTGGGGGTTCCTTCCAGGTTAAAAATCCCCTTCTTCCACAGCCCTTCGACCTCCATATGCGGGTCTCCTTCCATGAACACTCTGGTGGAAGCCATCTTTCTCTTTCCTGGACTTCCCCTCTGGGGTCCCCTTCCGCAGTCTCTCGTGGAAGCCTGTCTTCCCCTCCTAAACTCCACCTCTCTCTGTTCCCTTCCACTCAGTGTGGAAGCTGCCTTCCTCTCCTGGATCCCATCTTTGTGGATTCTCACTCAGCCTGAGACTTAGCTGCTTCTCTCTCTGTCCTCCTGTTTCTCTCTCTCTAAATAAATCACTTTCTACACTGAATCCGGCATTTACTGCGTGCTGTGCCGTGGTCCCCTCGCTCATTCTTGAGAGGGCAGGAGGCCAGGAACCTGGAGAAACGTCCTCTCAGGGAGCTGAGGGCACCCTGAACCCGTGAACCCCAATATTACATTTTGGAGAGCCAGCCAGGAGAGGGGTACAGCCAGGAAAGGGGTCGAGCCGGAGAAGACGTGAAAATCGTGAGTGAACCCGGCCCCATTCTGTGCTGTCTCCTTATTGTTGTATTTGACCGAGTGTAGAAAGTTATCACAAGACAAAAGTATGCCAGGTTGCAGGGTCATTTATTTATGCCGGCGACCACAGAGGACTCACGTCTCTCCAACCTGTGGTGGCAACAGGAGGGTGCCACGATTTTTTATACCCGAAAAACCACCTTGGGAGTGGGGGTGAGGGGCGGGGATGGGGATGAAAAGCCTTCAGACATTCCGAGGGCTAGTGGATTCTGTAAATTACCTCCTGGGCAGAGATGAGGGTGGGGGTCCCCGGACATTCCAAGGGATGGGGACTTTTGTCATTCCGTTTGTTACTTAAGTGGTTTACAGAAGTCAAGATAAACATTTGTTTACACATTATCTGGTTAAGGTGGAAATCACAGACCTTAGTTACTTATTACAAGTCGCAGGAGCCAAGATGGCATGGGTTAGGACTGCTTGCCTGTCATATTAGGGCCACAGAGAGCAGTTACTGATAAGAAAAGGTAAGCAGCTTCACGTAGTTTTGAAGAACAAACTGGCAGTTCTATTTACAGAGGCCAAGGACAGTAGTTATTGTGAGGAGAATGGGGCAGCCATTTCAACTTATCTAAAAACAGTTTTGCATTTTATAAAATAGTTTTGCTCTGGTTCTGGCTCTAGGCCAGCACAATATCACATTATGAACAGCGGAAGCGGCGCAGCCAGGCCGGGCAGCGGGACGGGGCGGCGGCGCCTCAGAGGCCACCCTGCCAGAATTAAAAGCGCCGTTTCTTTACCTTCAGGCTCTCTCTGCTTTCCGTCTCCTTCTCTATCCTTCGGATATTATCTCTGGGACCGAAGCCTGAGGGAGCCTGTGGGACAGTGGCCGAGCATGGCCCGGGGCCCCAGGGGTGGGCCGGGAAAACAGCGGGGAGGGGCGAGGTGCATCGGAGCCTGCGGGGGACGGAGCGCAGTGGCCTGGCGCTGGCTCTGGCAGGCCCCTTGGCATCCCCCAGTCCCCGGCAGCAGGGTAAAAAGGCTCCCAGGGCGTTTGCCTGCCGGCCACGGGTCCCCGTGTGGGCAGGAGCTCGGGAAGTGGCCCAGACGTGCAAGTGGTTCTGGCGGGGTCAATATGGTGACTGAACGCTGCAGGGGCGGGGGACTCAGTGGCCCAGCAGCCGCGAACACGGCTTTTAAACTGACGCGGCAAGCGGCTTTTTTCTTCTGCTGGCCTGCGGCTCTGAGCCAACGGAACCGGCCGAAGTGGCTGCTGGCTGTCAGCCCCGCCCAGCTCTTAGGCAGGCCACACTGCCCCAGGGTGCAGCGTTCGCATTCACAATGCGGCTTAAGAAAGCTTTCTGCCTTCCCTACTGCAAGGGGCCTGTTGCACAGCTGGGTAAGGTGTAGGAGCTGCAAGCTTGCTGGTTCAAATCCCTGGTGGAGCCAGTCTTGAATTGGTGAGACCTTTTGGGGAAATGCAGAAGCTGAAGGCTGTGGGACTTTGTGTCTGGCGTATAATTTGTCTTGCTTAGGATTGGCTCTCTCTCGCAGAACTTCTCCACCTGGAAGATCATAGTTAAACCGGTTCCAGGACCAAATGGTCAATGGCAGGTCTCACAATCTTAAGAGCATTTTCCTACAATGGAAAATGGGTTGGGGAAAGGAGGCCCCGGTCCTGAGGGTATTGTTCCGGCCTCGGCCACACCCCGCCTGCCTTCTTTGAGCTGTGCGTTCTAATGGCCCCTCCCTCGGAGTTTACCCTTCTGTGGCAGTTTTATAACCTGGCTGGTGTAAATCGGACTTTTCCTGGGAAATATTGGTACCTATATCCTGAGCCTCACTGGCCTCCTTGGGGCTCCTTGGTACGTGACTACCCAACCCAACAGCTCCTCTCGTTCCATGCCTCTGTGGTATTCACTGGAGGTCACGCAGGCAGTTAGTGGTCCCATGGCGCCGGCAGGTCATGATTGGAATCCAGTACCTGGGAGCCCCTCTGATAAGATGGATCATGCATCTTGGGCACAAGAAATTTCGGGGTCCTGACTGAAAGACGTTTCGTTTCAGTACCTGTTTTACCTGGGGGACACCTCAGGTCAAAGCGGCTGTAATTTCTTTAACTGGGGATGCGGGCCTTGTGTTCAATTTCAGATGGGTGCTTCTATTCCCAAGCTCAAGTCTCCATTAAAATGTATGCTGGAAAATTGGGATCACTTTAGCACACAGTCTTTAAAGATGAAGTGGCTTGTTTTTCTCTGCCAAACAGCATGGCCAAATTACCTTCTGCCAAATGGAAAATCTAACCCCCAAAGGGGAGGGAAGAAAACCCAACAGTTTTCCTTGAGTGATTGTGGGAGGCTTAAGGAAGTACACCCCCTGTCACCGGACTCCATAGAGGGTCAGTTAATACTAAAAGACAAGTTTATTACTTATTCAGCAGCAAATATCAGGAGGAAGCTCCAGTAGCTGGGTTTGGGACCAGAGCAGAGCCTAGAATCTTTACTGAACCAGGCAACCTTGGTGTTTTATAATACAGACTGGTAGGAACGGCTGAAAGAAATTCGAGATATCAGCCTTAGTCATGACTTTCAGGCAAGCAGACCCTAGGGGCTCAAATGAGGGAAAGAGTTGGGTAAGCCGCTAGTGTGGAAGAACTTGTTACCAGTGCAGCCTGAAGGGACATTTTGTAAGAAATTGTCCCCGGAGGAATGGACCACCATCTTGTCCATGCCTGCTGTGCCAAGGGAATCACTGGAAAGCACACTGTACCAGGGGATGAAGGTTTCCAGGGCCTGAGATGTCTGACCAGATGACCCAATGGCAGGACTGAGGGTTCCCGGAGCAAGTACCAGCCTGAGCTGTCACCCTCACAGAGCCCCAGGTAAAGCTGACCATAGAGGTCCAGGAAGTCAGTCTTCTCCTGGACACTGCATGGCCTTCTCAGTATTTCTCTCCTGCCATGGAGACTTGGTGCTTGTTAATTCTCTCCCCTCAGACCCTCCCTCTCGAGGCCCATCCTCGGAAGGACCATTTTCGGTCATTCTGTCCACTCCAACGGCAGTTAAGGTATTGGAAATAGACTGATGGATTCATCACACTTTGGTGAAGCCTTGGATACCCCCTGAGGAAAGTCACAGACCCTGCACTCCACAGCCTGAAGTTCCAGGAGACAACCCCTCATATCCCTGCGAGCCTTTAGAGGATATACATCTGCTTTTCCAACAAGATCCTCAGGGAAGTAACCACTCATGTCTAAGTTGTATCCTGGCATTAACAGGACTATAGCCCTCAACTTTCCTATCTCTCGAACTACAAGTATCCTTTTCATAGTGGGAAGGAAATTTGCCTGTTTCTAGGAAAAATGCTGCTATTTTGTAAACCAAACGATAAGGTCACAAATAATCCTGCCGCTGGAACCCTGGATGTCCTTGGCTCTTGAGCTCTATTGTGGACCTCTAGATGAACCTGCACCCCTGAAAAGCTCCCCTCTGGAGGAAACCTCAACTGTGGGGTCCCTTCTATGCCCCATTTCAGCAGGAAGTAGTTAAAGAGGACCGACGCCCATGTTCTAACAGAAGTTGGACTTTCCTGTTCAGAGGGAGGGAGTGAGGGAAGGTGTGGGCATAGTTTTAAGAGCAAGAATTTCCCAGCGCCATGCCCCCTCTCATCTCTCTCCATCCGGGAGATTTAACGGTTTATGTTTGAATTTCGAGGGCGCCGGAAGAAACTAAGAGTCAGTCACTCCAGTGGAAGTTCTAAGGAACTCCTTTCACTGGCCAAGGGTCTTGGAGAAGGTGGGGGTTCCTTCCAGGTTAAAAGTCCCCTTCTTCCACACCCCTTCGACCTCCATGTTCCGGTCCCCTTCCACCAACACTCTCGTGGAAGCCATCTTTCTCTCTCCTGGATTTCCCCTCTGGGGTCCCCTTCCACACTCTCTCGTGGAAGCCTGTCTTCTCCTCCTAAACTCCATCTCTCTCTATTCCCTTCCACTCAGTATGGAAGCTGCTTTCCTCCCCTGGATCCCATCTTTGTGGATGCTCTCACTCAGCATGAGAGTTAGCTGTTTCTTTCTCTCTCCTCCTGTTTCTCCCTCTCTCTAAATAAGTCACTTTCTACAAACACTTGAGTCTGGCATTTACTGTGCACTGTGCCGTGGTCTCTCTCTCATTCTTGAGAGGACAGGAGGCCAAGAACCTGGAGAAACAGCCTCTCAGGGGAGCTGAGGGCACCCTGAACCCCAATATTGCACTCCTGTGGTCTTTATGCTCTTTGTCAACTTCCTGCACTCCCGTAGGTTCCATCTATCAGATCTTTAGTAACAGTTAGAAGCACGTGCTCTGGGGACAGATAAACCAGGGTACAATCTCTGCTCCACCACTTCTAGCCCACTTACTATCTGGTTGAAATTTGGTGAGCTCTCTAATCTCTCTGGCCCTCAGTTTCATCATCTGCAATAGGACACAACCAACCATAACCTCACAGAGGTATTAAGATTAAATTAGAAAACATATATCACAGAGTTGGCAAATGGCCCCGTTTCTGGCGTATGTTTAGTGCTCAGTAAATGTTGGTTTTACTCATCTCCTTTGCTATAAATCCATTTCAAATATATCCCTGTTGTGGGAGGGAAACATTACACACTGGGGCCTGTCAGGGGTGGGGGTCAAGGGGAGGGAGAGGAATAGGACAAATACCTAATGCATGAGGGGCTTAAAACCCAGATGACAGGATGGTGGGTGGGGCAAAGCACCATGGCACATGTACACATATGTAACAAACCTGCATGTTCTACACGTGTATCCCAGAACTTATATATGTACACTTTTATAAAATATATTTATTTAAGATGAAACATCTTAAAATATATTTTATATACATGAAGATTTTATATATATATATCTTTCTCCCTGTTGTGAGAGGTACTCCTCCATCAGACCTGAGCATCTGGCTGGATATGCCAAGAATGTAAGACCCTGTTGTTCTTACCTGGGCTGTTTCTGCAGCTGTGTTTGCAGCCAACATTGAGAGATAAGACAATGACTTCCCCTGGACCAATATCCGGCCTGCTTCTGCTTGCTGTAAAAGCAGTTCCCTGAGCCCCGTGCTCTTTTCCTCCCATGCAAGGCACTGCACGAGCAGGCAGCTGTTGAAACCTCTCTGTGGCACCCTGTGGATCTGGATGGAGAAATGAGGCAAACCAGGAACATGCTGCTTGCTATGCCGTGAGTAATACATCACCCTTTGTCTCTGACCCAGGACTCTCATCTCTCCTGGCAGAATCCATGAAGTATTAATAGGGTAGCTCACCAGCTTGCAAGTAACAAAAACATCCTAAGCACTTCACAAAATCCCAACTCCCAATTCTTCACTTCTCCCTGTATTCACACACTTTGCACTGATTTTCCAGCAACTTCTATTGAGAGATGGGGCCTGCTTTACGCCCCATTGAGTCTGCGCTGACCTAAGCCTAGTTGAACTTTGAAACACTGCATAGAGAATGTCCAGAGCCATTGCAGTCTCCTCTCAGTCTCTCAGAACCAAGTCTGTGCCGTGTGAATAGCCGGGTGCCTCCTGGAGGCCGAGAAACACATGGAGAAAAGTCCAGGTGTTACAGCTGAGGCCATCCTAGATCAACCTGAAGCTGTTGAAGCCCCAAACAACTGAATAAGCTGAGCCAGGATCAGCAAAGCTGCCCGCCTGACCCACAGCTGCTCATGTACCAAGAGTGATCCCATCCCCCTGCAGAAGAACCAGCCAACTGTCTCACAGACTTGCTAGGTATCATAAACCCTTATTGCTCTAAACCAACGGGTCTTGAGGTGGTTTGTACTCAGCAATTGCTACTATGCAATCTTCGTTTTTACTCTCTTGAGTTTGAAGGGTTTCTGTGAGAGAAACATGGAAACTCACACCTTCTGAGACCTACTATGTGCCAGGGACATGACTCCATTACATGATCTTACCACCTTTAAGTAGAGATTATTATTCCCGTTTTACAGATAGGAAAACCAAGCCCCAGAGAGGAAGAGCATTGGCCCCAAAGCACAACCAAAATTCCAGAGCAGATACACCTGTGGTTCCTCTGCCCCGAGGCTCCAGCTGGACCCAGAGTTGAAGGGACTCACGTGCATGATGTTCACGCTCTTGTTGAAAATTGCCACATAGGGCTTGAGGATGTTGAAGTGGAAGGTGGGCGTCTAAAACAAAACATAATAAATATATATAAATAAACAAATAATTTTCATTTGCAATTCTGAGTGTGGCAAGAAGAGTGAACTGTGGCCCCGTGACGGGCACGCACTTTAGAGTTCACAGTGTGCTCTCTCGGAAACTGGTTTAGCCAAAGTGGTGTCATCATCTCTGGCCACGCACTTTATTCAAAAGACTTGACTCAAAATGACTATTTATGGAAATCAGCTTCAACTCTAGCCTCAAAAGACAAAAACATTGTAGTTCTAAAGATATTCAAAAGAAGGTAATTAAGGTTATCAAAAAGCAATGAAGGGCCAGGCACCATGTCTCACACCTGTAATCCCAGCACTTTGGGAGGCTGAGGCAGAAGGATCGCTTGAGTTCAGGAGTTTGAGACCAGCCTGGGCAACATAGTGAGACCCTGTCTCTACGAAAGAATTTTAAAAATTAGCTGGGCATGGCGGTCTGTGCCTGTTGTCCCAGCTACTCCAGAGGTTGGAAGTGGACGATGACTTGAGGCCAGGAGTTTGAGGTTGCAGTGATCCAGGACTGCACCACTGCACTCAGCCTGGGTGGCAGGGACAGCTTTCATCTCTGAAAGAAAAATAAAGGAAGCAAGGAAGAGCTGCTCCTCCAAATACTCCCACGTCATTTGGGGCAGTTACAAGATTCCAGAAAACATGGAAAACCTACCCTGAGTACGTTTTTGGATGTATGCTTATAAGAAAACAAATCTCTTTAATTAACTCATAGAAAGACTAAGAGGAAAGGATCCTAGGGGACATGTGGTTTTACTTCCCTATTTTATTTACTTACTTAGATGGAGTCTCACTCTGTTGTCCAGGCTGGAGTGCGGTAGCATGATCTTGGCTCACTGCAACCTCCACCTCCCAGGTTCAAGAGATTCTCCTCCCTCAGCCTCCCAAGTAGCTGAGATTACAGGCACCGGCCACCATGCCCAACTAATTTTTGTATTTTTAGCAGAGATGGGGTTTCACCATGTTGGCCAGGCTGGTCTCAAATTCCTGTACCCGCCTCGGCCTCCCAAAGCGCTGAGATTACAGACATGAGCCACCTTGACCGGCCCCTTAATACTTATTCCTTCTAATAACATTGATTGTGTGCCTACTATGTGCAATTACTAGATTAGGTTCTGAGAATGAACAAGATGAGACTCCTGCCATAGGGAGCTTCTGTTCTGATCCGGCGTGAGTTTGGGAGGAACATGCAAACAAGCAGTTCAATAAATCACAGGCTGATTTTTGCGTGTGATATGTGCTTTGAGAGAACCAGGCAGGACAAGGCAGTGCAGAGGAGGATGTGCCCCTTCACAGGATGAGGGAGAATTTCTCCACAGAGGTGTGTGTGAGCTGAGGTCTGAAACAGGCGAAGATTCCAGCTGTGGCGGGAGGTGTGGGAAGTCCATTTCGGGCAGGGAAGAGCGTGTGCAATGGTCCTGAAGGGGGAAACCGCTTGGCATTTACAGGAGCAGAAAAGAAGCCCAGATGCCCGATGCAAATGAGCAAGAGGAAAAGAATAGAGGTGGCAGGCAGCGTCGGGTCATGCCAGGATTGGTTGGCTTTTTAAAGAGACATGGTCTCACCCTGTCCCCCAGGCTGGAGTGCAGTGGGGCAATCACAGCTCCCCGCAGCCTCAACCTCTCCTGGGTTCAAGGGATTCTGTCATCTCAGCCTCGCAAGTAGCTGGGACTACAGGCATAAGCCCCACCAGGCCTGGCTAATTGTTTTTTCATTATTAGAGACGAGAATCTTGCTGTGTTGCCTCGGTGGGTCTCAAACTCCCGCACTCAAGTGATTCTCCCATCCAGCCTCAAAAAGCACTGGAATTACAGGTTTGTACACTATATCTGGCCAAGATTGGGGGCCTTAAAATGCTCTACTTTTAATTTTTGTGGGTACATAGCAGGTGTATATATTTCTGGGGTACATGAGTGTTCTGGTACAGTCATGCAATGTGTTACAGTCACATCGGGGTAAATGCAATACCCCTCACCTACGCACTTGTGCTTTCTTTGTTTTACAAACAATTCAGCTACACTCTTTTCCCTGTTTCTTTCTTTCTTTTTCTTTCTTTTTTTTTTTTTGAGATGGAGTGTAGCTCTGTCTCTGGGCTGCAGTGCAGTGGTGCAATCTCGGCTCACTGCAACATCCGCCCCACCTCCCCCAGGTTCAAGTGATTCTCCAGCCTCAGCCTCCTGAGTAGCGAGGACTGCAGGTGCATGCCCCCAAGCCTGGATAATTTTTGTATTTTTAGTAGAGACAGTGTGTCACCGTGTCAGGCTGGTCTCGAACTCCTGACCTCAGGTGATCCTCCTGCCTCAGCCTCCCAAAGTGCTGGGATTACAGGCATACGCCGCCACTCCAGCCTCTTTTAGCTATTTAAAAATATACAATAAATTATTGTCTACCATTGTAACTCTGTTGTACTACCAAGTACTACATCTTACTCATTCTAACTGTATTTTTGTACCCGTTAACTATCCCTGTGCACCCCCTCCAGCCCACCACCCTCCCCAGCCTCTGGTAACCATCATTCTACTCTCTATTTCCATGAGGTCAATTGCTGTAATTTTTAGCACCCACGAATGACTGGGAGCATGTAAAATTTGTCTGTGTCTGGCTTATTTTAGTTAACGTATCTACATATAATGTATATACACACATATCTACATATTTATTTATAGTATACTGATTAAAAGGTAAGTTCTTAATGCCCCAATGAAAGAGAATGGCAGGCTCACACTTGTAATCCCAGCACAGCGGGAGGTTGAGGGGGAAGGATCACTTGAGCCCAGGAGTTTGAAACTGGCCCGGGAAACACGGTGAGACCCAGTCTCTACAACAAATATAAAAATTAGACGGGCATGGCGGCTTGTACCTAGGGTCCCAGCTACTCAGGAGGCTGAGGTGGGAGGATGACTTAAGCCAAGAAGGCAGAGGTTGCAGTGAGCTGAGATCACACCACTGCACTTCAGCCTGAATGACAAAGCAGAAACTTGACAAAAAAAAAAAAAAAAAAAAAAAGAAAAAGAAAAAAATTGGTATCCCAGAAAATTTTAAAATATCTATTCACAAATGTATATAATCATAGTATATTAATCAAAAAGTAAATTCTTAATACTTCATGGCAAGTGAACAGCAGGCCACGGATGACGGCTCATGCTTGTAATCTCAGCACGTTGAGAGGCCCAGGCAAGAGGACTGCTTGTGTCCACAAGTTTAAGACCAGCCTCAGCAGCAGAGCGAGGACCCACCTCTCAGACAAATCAGACATGAGTCAGGGATGGCGGCAGACGCCTGTGGTCTAAGCTGCTCAAGATGCTGACTTGGGAAAGTGAGTGGAGGCCAAAAGGCCACGGCTGCCATGGAGCCACGATCACACAACGACACTCCAGCCTGGGTGACAGAGCAAGACCCTAAGGAAAAAAGATTAACTGTAGAAATATAAAAAAGGAAGACATGAAATGAGATGCTACCACATCCAGGGCAGAGACAAACAGCCCAAGCAGAGGCCCGTTCCCCTCCGATCGCCCAGAAGACAAGAAAACCATGAGACACTAAATAAGAGACGTCACTGTAAAAAGACACAGGCAGAATTTACTACAAATCTGTCGAAAATACACTCTCCAGGTTAAAAGTAGAGACAGGTGTTCAGCCAAGGCACACTGCCGAAAAGTGAACAAATGAGAGTCCAGGGAAGCTTTGGGCTTTTTGATGCTGTTGAGGATCTAAGGCCGGTAGAGCTGGATCCGGAGGAGGCCACTGTGAGGCAAGCACAGGGCAGAAAAAACCACGAAGAGGCAGGAGATGAGCCTGGGGGGGCCGTGGTGGGCACAAGCTGGTACAGGAAAGGCCGCCATGAAAAAACAGGTGAATCGAGAGGCAGATGTGACACAGAGGATGTGGCTGAAGGGCCACAGGGAGGCAAACGCAAGGCCTGCCAAAATGGCTGAAAAACAGGTAGTAACAGGGCCAGAAAAGGCCCGCGTAGGGAACAGCTGGGCCGAAGAGGCTGTGGCCAGGCAGGAGCTGGGTCTGTCCAGGCCACCAGGAGGCCGACGGAAGGCCTTGAAAGCCCGACTTGAAGAAGACTAAAGTCTGCAGAGGCTGCTGGGAGCTGGGCAGGAGCTGGCACAGACGTGGTTGTTGTGAGGCGGGACCTGAGCCTGTAGACCCAGCGAGGAAGAAGAGCTGGGCCTGGGGAGGCCGCCGTGAGGGAGGCAGAGGCCGAGCCTGGAGAGCCGGACGGGAGGCAGGAGCTGGCCCCGCCCTGGAGGGGCCCACGTCAGAAAGTTTTGCGCCCGGAGAGGATGCTGGGAGGGCAGGAGCTGGGCCTGTGACGCAGCCGGGGGGAAGAGCTGGGCCCGGAGAGGACGCCGAGAGGCAGCACCTGGGCCTGGAGAGGCCGAGACAGGCGTGAGCTGGGCCCGGAGGGGCTGCCAAAACACTTCCAAGAACTGTGCCTGGAAGGTGGGTGTGAGGAACGAGCTGGGCCTGCAGAGGCCACTGGGACGCAGGAGCTGGGCCTGCAGAGGCTGCCGAGAGGCAGGAGCCTCCCTCAGGGAGGCATGAGATGTGTCTAAAGAGGCCGTCGGAAAGGCAGGAGCTGGGTTTGTCCACGCTGCCACCAGGCAGGCAGGTGGGCAGAGATGGCCGGGGGTGGGAGGGGGGCGGCCAACGTCAAGGGCAAGAGCTGGGCCTGGAGAGGCTGTCAGCCAGGAGCTGGGTCTGTCCAGGCCGCCGCGAGGCCAAAGGTGGGCCTGGAATGCCCGACTTGAGGAAGGCTGTGGCCTACGGAGGCTGCCGGGAGCTGGGCGGGAGCTGGGCCAAACGTGGTTGTTTGAGGCAGGAGGTGGGCCTGTGACGCAGCCAGGAGGAAGAGCCGGGCCCGGACAGGCTGACTGGGAAACGTTCTGGGCCTGGAGAGGACGCCAGAAAGCCAACGCTGGGCCTGGAAGGGCCGCCGGGAGGCACCAGCTTGTCCTAAAGAGGCCACTGGGAGGCTGCATGCAGGAGCTTTGCCTGGAGAGGCTGCCAAGAGGCAGGAGCTGGGCCTAAAGAGCCCAGCGTGAGGCAAGTGCTCAGCCTGGAGCGGCCGACTTCAGGAAGATTCCGGCCTGGAGAACGTGTCAGGGGCAGGAGCGGGGCCTGGCAGGGCTGCTGAAAGGCAGGAGCTTGGAGTGTGGGTGCTGCAGTGAGGCAGGTGCTGGGCCTGGAGAGGCCGATGGGAGGCAGGATTTGGACCTGGAATAGCAGACTTGAGAAAGTTGTCTGGTGAGGCCACCAGGATGCAGGAGCTGGGCCTGAAGAGGCACCTCGAGGAAGTTTTGGGCCTGGATAACCTGTCAGAGGACAGGGGCTGGGCCTGCAGGGTCCATGTGAGCTGGACCTAATGAGGTTATGTGAGGCAGGACCTGGGCCTGTCAGCGCTGCCAGGAGGCAGGTGGAAACTTGTTCAGGGAAGATCTCCGTGAGGCACAAGCTGGGCCTGCAGAGGCCACTGGGAGACAAGACCTGGGCTGGAGAGGCCACTGTCACTCAGGAGCTGGGCCTGTCCAAGCCATTGGGAGGCTGAAGGTGGGCCTGGAGAGCTTGACTTGGGGCAGTTTGGGGCCTAAAAAGGCCACCAGGAGCTAGGCGGGAGCTGAGCCGAGAGAGGCTGTTGTGAGGCATGCGCTGGCCCTCTAGGCACAGCTGGGAGGGAGAGCTCGGCCTTGAGAGGCCGACTTGGGGACACTTTGGGCCCAGATAAGCCACCCAGAGGCAGGAGCTGGCACTAAAGAGGTCATTGTAAGGGAGGGGCTGGGCCTGCACGAGCTGCCAGGAGGCAGAAGCTGGGCCTCAAGAGTCCGCTGTGAAACAGGAGCTGGGTCTTGGAAGGTGGTCGTGAAGCAAAAGCTGGCCCTTGGGAGGCCGATGAGAGGCAGGAGCTGGGCCCGATGTGGTCGGCTTGAGAACATTCTGGGCCTGGAGAGAAGGCTGGGAGGCAGGAGCTGGGCCTAAAGAGGCCATCGTCCTGATGAACCTGGGCCTGTGGAGGCTGCCGTGAGGCAGTGTCTCATCTGCAGAGACGACCATGAGGTGGGGTATGGGCCTAAACAGACCATTGTGAGCCGTGAGCTTGGCCTATACAGGCCAACTGGAAAAAGTTCTGGGTCTGGAGAGGCTGCCGGCAGGCAGGAGCGGAGCCAAAAGATTCAAGCACATTACATTTATTGGGCACTTTATTTCCATTATTACATTGTAATATACAATGAAATAATTTTATTTTTTTGAGAAGGTGTTTCACTCTTGTTGCCCAGGCTGGAGTACAATGGTGTGATCTTGGCTCACTGCAACCGCCACCTCCCAGGTTCAAGCAATTCTGCTGCCTTGGCTTCCCAATTAGCTGGGATTACAGATGTCCACCACCATGCCTGGCTAATTTTTTGTATTTTCAGTAGAGACAGGGTTTCACCATGTTGGCCAGGCTGGTATCAAACTCCTGAATTCAGGTGGTCCACCCACCTTGGCTTCCCAAATTGCTTGGATTACAGGCATGAGCCACTGCACCCAGTGAGAGATTTATTTCCTATACAGGGTTGCAGCCTGCAGGGTAGCCCTTCTAACGGGCTGGGAAGCATAGACTCCAGCCAGAAGCCAGAAGGGACGCTTCAAGGGAGAGGTAAAGGAAACAGTAATTTATGCTGCGTGGCATGGCCAAGCACACACATTTAATGAGCTCTAGGAGGAGCCACGAATATTTATGAAAAGAGAAATGTGTGCAGTCACAGTTGAGGTTCTCACTCCTTCATGGGTCCCCTGCACAAAAAATGGCAGTGTTAGCATGATCCCAGGGTGACGTTTTCAGTTCTCTGACATTAAAAGGTGAAGCAGAGGACATGAAAACTTGCTCTGTGCATCCTCTGTGTACTGGCCAGAACCTGTCTGTCATGGGTGGTCTCTTATGAGGCAAGAAAGGAGAGACAGCTTCGGGCAGTTGGTTGATATCAGCGGTGGAGTCTTTTGAAAGGTCTGGTTTTTCTTAAATCCCTTGCTGAGGTGTCTGTTCAGATTTCTGTGCATCTGTCGTTGGGCTGTTTTACCTAGTTTTAAGATTTTTTTGTATATTGAACACAAATTCTTTCTCAGAACTGTATTTTGCAAATATTTTCTTTCAATATGTGACTATTCTCTTAACAAGATCTTTTCCAGAGTATACTCTTTTAATATTTAAAAAATCTACTTAATTCTTTGTTCTTTGTGTATTGACACTTTGTGTTGCTTGTTAAAATTCACTGCCAAACGCAAAGGCTTTTATTCTATGTTTTCTTCTAGAAATTGAATAGCTTTGCATTTTTAGTGTAAAGATGATTTTGAGTGATTATTTGTATAAGTTGTAAAGTTCTCACCCACATTCATTTCATTTCCTATAGTTTCCACTGAATCGTTCCTTCACTACTTTTGGGAAAGACACAGGATCGTGTGCTCTGTTAGAGTAGGTAGGTAGCTAGACACGAACATGATGGGGAGGCTCACCTGGAGGGACCATCAACAATGTATATATTCATGGCATCTCTAACGCTGGAGTGGATGGGCTCTTGTCAGTTGTGGGTAGGAGGAAGAACAGGTACCTGTGCAGAAGGAAACACCCTAGAACTCCTC